ACTTTCCCTTCTCCCATACATTACCACTGCCTTAATAAGGGCCTATTTACTGCAGGTATTGTTTTACTCACCACATCATGTCCAGCTAGCAAGAAAATATTACAAGACATCCCCAAAGGCAAATAAACACACGAACTCAGCTTGAGGAAATAGACCAAATATCAGAACTAGAGTTAAATATGGCAGGAGCATTGGAGTTATAAAACTGGTAATTTAAAACAATTATGATGATTATGCTGAGGGCTCTTGTGGATAAAGTGGACAGTATGCAAAAACAGATGGGCAATGTGAGCAGAGAGATGGAAATCCTAAGAAAGTACCAAAAGGAAATGCTAGAGATTAAGAAAAAAAAATGCCATACAAGGCATGAAACACGATCTGACAGGCGTATTAGTAGACTGGACACTGGGAAAGTAGATATTCTCAAGCTAGGGAAAGAATCCCTGTGCTCGGGGGTTCCTCAACGGAAACTCTCAAAGCTGTAAAGCAAACAGAAAAAGAGACTGAGGAAAAAATAGAAAGTAAAAAAAAAATTAAAAACAGAAGAGAATATTCAAAACTGTAACACAATCACAAAAGGTATAACACATGTGTAATAGCCATACCAGAAAGAGAAGAAAGAGTGAAAGAAATCATTATATAAAAAGACACCTGCGCTCAGGCATTTATCACAGCACTATTCACAGTAGCAAAGATATGGAATCAAAGTGTTCATCAACAGAGGACTGGATAAAGAAAAATATGAATAAAGATACGTTAAGAAAGGGAAAAAAAGCATGGTGTATATATGTAATGTATAAAACGTATATATATAGGTTTTATATATAACATATGTATATACGTTATATACGTTACATATATACACCATTGAATACTACTCAGTCATAAAAACAAATGAAATCATGTCTTTTGCAGCAACATGGATGGGACAGAAGGCCATTATTCTAAGTGAAATAACTCAGGAACGGAAAGTCAAATACCAAATGTTCTCAAAACTGGGAACTAAACAATGAGTGTACATGGACATGCAGAATAGAATAGAGGACACTGAAGACTAAAAAAGGTGGGAAGAAGGGAGGAGCGTGAGGGTTGAAAAACTACCTACTGAATACAATGTTCACTATTTGGGTGATGGGTACACTAAAAGCCTACACTTCACTATCATGCAATATATGCTTGTAAGAAAATGTGCTTGTACCCCCTTAATATATAAAAGTAGAAAATATATATAGAAAACAAAAGAAACAGAAGATATTTGAAAAAATAATGATGGGAATTTCCCAAAAGTAATGTCAGACACCAAACCACAGGCCCCAAAACTCAGAGAACACCAAGCAGGGTAAATTAGAACACACGCACATACAACCCCTTCGCGTAGGCATATTATTTTCAAACTACAGAAAATCAAAAACAAAAAAGAAAAAGTCCCAAAAGAAGCCAGAGGAAAAAGACACCTTAACTATCAAGGAGCAAAGGTAAGTATTACAGATTACTTCTCAGAAACAATACAAGCAGGGAGAGAGTGGAGTAAAATAGTTAAAGAGTCGAGGAAAAACAAAACAAAAAAAATGCCAACCTAAAATTCTATACTTTGTGAAATTACCCTTCAAAACTGAAAAAGAAAAAATAAATGGTTTCTTCAACAAACAAAAATCGAAGAAATTTGTTGCCAGTAGACCTTTCTTACAAAAAAAGTCAAAAGAAGTTCTTCAGAGAGAAGAAAATAATATAGGTCAGAAACTCAGATCTACATAAGAAAGGGAGAACACTGAAGAAGAAATAATTGAAAGTAAAATAAAAACTTTATTTATTCTTAACTGATTTAACAGAAAACAATTTGTTCAAAATCATCACATCAACAATGAATTCAATTACATGTGCTTATATACATGTCTTATATGTATTTTATACTTAACATATGTGTGTGCATGAATGAAATCAATAACATAAATGAACTAAGAGACAAGAGGGAGAAATTGGGTTTATTTTACCAAGATACAGGCACTCTCTATGAATTACTCTAGTGATATTTGAAAACCAGACTTGGATTAGTTGTAAATGTATATTGCAAACTCTAGGATAACTACTAAAAAAAAAGTGAACAAAGAATTATAACTGATAAAAACGAAAGAAAAAAAAAGAGCATTATAGAAAATACTCAATTTAATACCATGGCCTGGGTGTGGTGGCTCACACCTGTAATCCCAGCACTTTGGGAGGCCAAAGTGGGTAGATCACGAGGTCAGGAGTTTAAGACCAGCCTGACCAACATGGCAAAACCCTGTCTCTACTAAAAATACAAAAATTAGCCAGGCATGGTGATGCGCACTTGTAATCACAGCTACTCAGGAGGCTGAGACAGGAGAATCACTTGAACCCAGCAGACAGAGGTTGCAGTGAGCCGAGATTGCGCCACTGGACTCCTGCACTCCAGCCTGGGCAACAGAGCAAGACTCCGTTTAAAAACAAAACAAAACGAAACAAAAAACATGAAAGGTAGAAAGAGTGGAAGACAAAAATAGGAATGCAGCTGGGTGTAGTGGCACACACCTGTAAACCTGGCACTTTGGGAAGTCAAGCCAGGGGAATCACTTAAGGCCTGATGTTTGAGACTAGCCTGGCCAACATAGGAAAGCCCTGTCTCTAAAAGAAAAAAAAACAAAAGCAATGCAGGAGAAGGAAGGGCAACAAATAGAAAATAGTAACAAATATGATCAATACTAATCTAACTATATAAACAATCACTTTGAATATCGGTGCTTTATATGCACCAATGAAAAGACAGAGATTGTCAGAGTGGATAACAAAACAGTAGCCAACTATATAGTGTCTACAGAGGTGAAGAAAACAGGGTCCCTTCCCTTGGAAAGGGAAAAGCAATTAAAAGAGTAAAAAACAGAAGAGAATATTCAAAACTGTGGCACAACCACAAAAGGTATAATGTATGTGTAATAGCCATACCAGAAGGAGAATAAAGAGTGAAAGAAATCATTCTTTCTGAAAATGCTTCTAAGGGTTGCATGTTTTCCAACAGCGTGTGCTATAGAGTGGCGGTGGTTCTCTCTCTGCCTCTGTCCTTTAGGCACCCACACCCTGAGGAACTGCAGGCATCACACTTGAGCAGTGATCTAGTGTCCAGAGTCAGAGACCCAGAGAAATTAAAAATCTCATTAAAAACAAGCAAACAAATGAGTATTCTCCCCTTGTAAATGATCTCGTTATTACTGTGACCTAACAATAACTGTAGGATTTACTCTTTGCTGTTGGTTTGGTCTTCTGAATAATTTGTCTTGCATCGTCTCACAGATTCAATCATTATCCTCGAAACAACAATGAAGTGGGAGTTAGGAGACCGTAAATAAGCTTCTCTGTATGGGAGTGAAAACCCGGCAGCTGCAGTAACACTGGTTTCCTTGCCGTTCCTTGAAGAGGTCAAGTCCACTCCCAGCCTTCCACATTTGTTCTTGTTTTGCACTCTGTCTGGAATGATCTCCCCCACTGAGCACAATTGTGTATCACTTAACAACAGGAATCCACATTCCGAGAAATGTGTCATCAGGCAATTTTGTTGTGTGACTATCGTAGGGTGTACTTACACAAACCTAGATTTTATAGCCTACTACACACCTAGGCTGTGTGGTGTAGCCTATTGCTCTTCGACTATAAACCTGCATAGCGGGTTAGTGTAGTGAATTTTGTACGCAATTGTAACACAAGAGTATTTGTGAATCTCAATGCAGAAAAGGCACAGTAATTGGATATGCAGTCTGCTGTTGACTAAAATATAGTATGTGGCGCATGACTGTGTACACATGGATAGCTCTGAAGGAAGGAAGGGTTTCCAAAAAGAGGCAACCACAGCTCATTTGAGTAAAGCCTGTTGTGACACAGCATGGGCTGAAAGTCCAGACACTCAACTCATCATCTTAGGCTCTGTGCATTTGCTAAACAATCTGACTGCATTGTGTCACCTCAGATGCCTCACAATCTCTGGTGAAGCCATATGCTTCTTCTTGGGTGTCGGGTCACCCCTTTATCTCCGTATCCACCTATACTGCAAATTCCTTCTTTACTCACCAGTTCCTGCTCATCTTACAGATCCAATGTAACTTCTTCTGCAAAGGCCTTCCTGCTCCTCTGCACCCCTCGCCATGCTGTGGGTGTCCTGATGCCTTCTCTGGGCTCCCCCGATCCCTGGGCTTACCCTGTCACAGCCTGACACTCCAGCTGTCCATCCCTGGTATGTGTCTATCTCCCTCTTCCACTGAGTCTGAGAGGACAATGCTTTGTCACCAGAGTCTGGGACAAAACCTTCACCAAGGGGAGGAGTCTGTAAATGCGCACCAGTTTCAATAACTGCATCCTCAGCATCTTTGGGAACACAGGGGAGATGTACCTAATTCACCTTGGGAAAGTAAAATTGGGAGGGAGACATGGAGGCTTAACTCAGCCTTAAATGAACGAATAAATAATGGCCAGGCAGTGGGGAGTTGGGAGGAGCTTGGAGGCTTTACCTATCACAGTGAAAGTCCTATAACTATATTTCACCATTATTTTCCTGTGGTCTAGGAGCTCCCCAGAGACCTGGCCTGGGGTGGATCATGTGTGGGCATGTCCATAGACCACTAAGAACAAAGGCGCCTTCCTCCATCATTTCCACCGTGCTACCACTAGAGGGAGACCCCAGCCCATTTATCACGCCCATTCCTGCCTCCTGGAGGCCCCTCCCTTCACCTGCTCCTGCCTGATCTGAGTGGGGAGGCTTTGGATTTATGGCAACGCTGGTGCCAAATCCCAGAATTGTCCTAAAGCCCAGGTCTCTGAATAAGTGATAGCCTTAGAATAATACTAACCACATTAAAAATGATATATTGCTACTTTTTGCCTAGATCTTATACCAGACGCTGTGCTGAGTGTTCCATAGGCACGATCACTCTGCACCCTCACAAAAGCCCCATGACATGAACATGTTTGTTATCCCAAATTTGTCAGATGGAAAAAGTGAGGCACAACTCGATTAAATGCCTTGCCTAAGGTCAACACGCCTGTTAGGGGTAGAACTAACTGACGACAGAGGAAGCCGTTTAACCCCCTGAAATCTACAAGTAGTCTGGGAAGAGGCAGAGAGGATTCCTTTAGGCGTGAAGGAAGAGTGGACTTGACAGTAGAGACCTGAGATCCAGGACGGGAGGAGGGAAGAGGCTCGCTTGACTGTCACAAGTTTGATTTTGCTGAAACAGACTCCAGGAAGGGCAGGGATGAGAGATGAGGCCACAATACAGGTAGCAGGGACCCCGGAGTGCCAAGCCTGTGTGTCAGGATGAAGAGTGCTGTTCTATTTCAAAGGAAAGGGGAATCCTGCAAGTGTTTTAAGCTGGGAAAGATAAAATCCAGTTTGTGTTTTGCAAAAATTATGTGAGTTTCTGGTTGGAGAAAAGACAGGCGGGGGACCCGGTGCTGGTGGGAAGTCCATGAGGAACCCGCAGCACCATCTTAACGAGAGAAGGCGAGGACTAGAACGGGGCAGTGGCCGGGGATGTGGAAAGCAGAGGACGTGAGCCCTCTCAGCAGAGTTGTGGAGCCTCCACACTGTTGATGCTGGCTGGGTAAACTGTTCGGGGGAGCGGAAGGGCAGGCCTCCCCATGTTTTGTAGGACGGGCAGCAGGATCTGGCCTCCACCTGCCAGATGCCAGTAGCAGCCCCCAAGTGTAATAGCCAAAAATGTCTCAAACATTGCCCAGTGTCCCCTAGGGGACAGAATTGCCCTTGGTTGAGAAGCACTGCTGCAGTGATGTCACCTGGCACAGTCTTCCAGATAGAAACTGAGGCCCCGATTTGGATGACAGCTTCACCCCTTCCTAGCTCCATGACCTTGGAAGAGACAACTTCATCAAATTGGACTCTTTTCCTCATTAGCAAAGGACACAGCGCTTTCCTGAGAATGTGTCTGTGAGGCTGAATTAGAGAAAAGCACCTTGCAAGCTGCCTGACACATGGGGAGCCTGCTGGAATGGGATTAGCAATCACCAAGATGAGCTTCATCTGCAAGAGACAGGCCTTTCTTTCATTATCTAGGCCGTCCTACCTGGGGAGACACAGCAGAGGGACACAGCTCACACGCACAGGGGGTGCCCATCAGCCATGTTACCTCACCGGAAGACTAGATCTCACCTGGTACAACCAGATCTGAGAGTAAGGGGACTCATGAAGAAACCCTGACCACAAGCAGAGGCCCTGTACTGTGGCACTTGACCTCCTGCACACCCTCTGGCAAAAGCAACATAAGGGAAGAATGCATTCCCCACCCTTGGGCACAATCACTACCTCCATGGAACCAGAGTTAAGGCCAGAGCCCTTCATCTGCATGAATAACTAAGGGCAATAAGCTTGCTGTGTGGGCTGGACTGAGACTGCTCCTGATTATCAAGGAGACATAGGGCTTTACTACAACATGGATGCAAGGAGGGATGGTCTGGAACCCAGGGAACCCTCTGAATACCTCTTACTATGACTGTAAAAGTCAATAGACGTTTTTAGCAACCCCACTATAGCAAGCATCCCAAAGGGCCCAGATCCCTTAGGAACAAGAGTTTTGGTCACCTCTCTGGGTGCAGAACATCATCTGAGATTTGGGCTGAGGTTGGAGGAAATATCAAATGAACTCTGGAAAAGGATAGCATAAAACTATTTTTTTTTTTCCCCTAGGATTTTACTTTGACGGTGTTCTGGAAGTAATTTCCCATTTCTTTAGTGTTTTTTTTTTTTCTCTCTCTCTCTTGCAGGAGAATTCATTACTTTCTATAGCCTCTCTCTGGCTTCATCATCCTTGTTTATGATTCAGGAGTATTTTTATTGCAGGTCTTTGTTAAATGAATCCTGTTATGCTTGAAAATATTCTTACTAAAATTTAACGACAATCTCTTACAGTTCAATGTCCATTCAATAGGGTACAAAATTATAAGGTCAGCTTCTTTTTCTTCAATACCCTTAAGAAATTAATTTCTTCATGCATCCAGTATTGCTATTGACAAGTCTGATATCATTTTGATTCCTTTTTCGTTATGACATAATCTACTATTTTCCTCTCTGTCTTAGATATTCTTAAGTTTCACTATCCCGCTTGTCCATGTCAGTTTTCTTTTCCTTTTTTGTTTGACACCCTGTGGTGTTGTCAATACAAGACAGTTCAGTTATTTTTTGTTTGTTTGTTTCTGGATAATTTATATTTATTACTTATTCAAATATCTGCTTTATGCCTTTCTTATTTTCTTTTCCTTCTAGATACCATTTTATCTGGATTCTGGTACTTCTCTCCTCCATATCTATCAGTTTATTTTTCCCGTTTCTGAATCTCTGCGGACTCTTTTTAGGAGAGTCTCTCACTTCAATCTTTCTGTTGAGTTATTTCATTGTCAGCAGTATCCATTTAGGACAAGTTTAATTGTAAAATTTGAATACCTTTCATACCTATCGGTTCCACTGCATTCTTTTTAATGACTTCTTATTGTTCTTTCCTATACTTATTTTGTATTCTTATCTATTCAAGTATATTCACATTGCTTGTTTTAAAATCCCGGAATGCATATTCCAATAAGATATACAAGGATGTCCAGCAGGCCTGTGACCTTCCCTTTGGGGTGACTGTACTTCTCAGGTCTTAAGTAATTTGGGCGTGTGGCTTATGTTCCCAGAGGGGACCTGCTACTCTGGAAGATTAAGTGTGAGGGGACAGAAAGAAGCCCAAGCTGCAGCGAGAGCCCCAAGGCGGAGGAGCTCTGTCCAGGGCAGAGGGAATCACTGCGGCTCACTCCTACTGAGCTCTTTGGGGCCATCCCATTGTCAGGGTTTCACTCTGAAGACAGAAATAAGCAGTATTTGGAGCCCAATGATCTTCTAGATTGTAATTCGTCATTTTGTCACCTGGAGCACTTTCTATTTATTATGTGATTTTAGAATGTAATTCTTACTGTAGAAATAAAGCATTACCATTAATAAAACTCCTGAAAACTATAAAACACTAAACACCTGTAAGATATTACTTTGCTACTAGATGCAGAGAGGGGTTCAGCATGGATAGCTCTGAATGCTGTGAAAGGCTGCTCAAGATTCACAGCCTTACAACGGTTTTTTCTTTATAAAAAATTAAAATTTCTTATCTACCTAAATAATGATGTGATTTAGATGTCTTTAGGCTTTCCACAAGTTGTGTCTTGATACTATCTATGAATTGATCCTATAATCTAAAAAACAATCTACTGAAAAAGCTAAATGTATCATTCAGGGTCTGTTGAGTTAGAGAGACAGAAACCGCACAATAAGTTGAACAAGGAAAGTTTAATGCAAAGAATTAATAACTAAAACAGGGGATTGGAGTATTGAATAAATGACTAGAGAGAAGTAAAGAGAACTCTTAAGAATACAGAAGTAGCTTGGATTCCTAGATATTTTATTCTCTTTGAGGTAATTGTGAATGGGAGTTCACTCATGATTTGGCTCTTCGTTTGTCTGTTATTGGTGTATAACAATGCTTGTGATTTTTGCATATTGATTTTGTATCCTGAGACTTTGCTGAAGTTGCTTATCAGCTTAAGGAGATTTTGGGATGAGATGCTGGGGTTTTCTAAATAAATAATCATGTCAGGCCGGGCGCGGTGGCTCAAGCCTGTAATCCCAGCACTTTGGGAGGCCGAGACGGGCGGATCACGAGGTCAGGAGATCGAGACCATCCTGGCCAACACGGTAAAACTCCGTCTCTACTAAAAAATACAAAAAACTAGCTGGGCGAGGTGGCGGGCGCCTGTAGTCCCAGCTACTCGGGAGGCTGAGGCAGGAGAATGGCGTGAACCCGGGAGGCGGAGCTTGCAGTGAGCTGAGATCCAGCCACGGCACTCCAGCCTGGGCGACAGAGCGAGACTCTGTCTCAAAAAAAAATAAAAAATAAAAAATAAATAATCATGTCAAAGGCAAACAGAGACAAGTTAACTTCCTTTTTTCCTAATTGAATACCCTTTATTTCTTTCTCTTGCCTGACTGCCCTAGCTAGAACTTCCAAGACTATGTTGAATAGGAGTGGTGAGAGAGGGCATCCTTGTCTTGTGCCAGTTTTCAAAGGGAATGCTTCTAGTTTTTGCCCATTTAGTATGGTATTGGCTGTGGGTTTGTCATAAATAGCTCTTATTAATTTGAGATACATTCCACCAGTACCTAGTTTATTGAGAGTTTTTAGCATGAAGTGCTGCTGAATTTTGTTGAAGGCCTTTCTGCATCTATTGAAATAATCGTGTGTTTTATTGAAATAATCATGTGTTTTTTTTATCATTGGTTCTGTTTATGTAATGGATTACATTTATTGATTTGCGTATGTTGAACCAACCTTGCCTCCCAGGGATGAAGCCAACTTGATCATAGTGGATAAGCTTTTTGATGCGCTGCTGGATTTGGTTTGCCAGTATTTTATTGAGGACTTTTGCATCATTTTTCATCAGGGATGTTGGCCTAAAATTCTCTTTTGTTGTTGTGTCCCTACAGGCTCTGGTGTCAAGATGATGCTAGCCTCATAAAATGAGTTAGGGAGGTTTCCCTCTTTTTCTGTTGACTGAAATAGTTTCAGAAGGAATGGTAGCAGCTCCTCATTGTACCTCTGGTAGAATTCAGTTGTGAATCCATCTGATCCTGGACATTTTTTGGTTGGTAGGCTATTAATTATTACCTAAATTTCAGAACCTGTTATTGGTCTATTCAGAGATTCAACTTCCTCTTGGTTTAGTCTTGGGAGGGTGTATGTGTCCAGGAATTTATCCATTTCTTCTAGATTTTCTAGTTTATTTGCGTAGAGGTGTTTATAGTATTCTCTGATGGTCGCTTGTATTTCTGTGGAGTTGGTGGTGATATCCCCTTTATCATATTTTATTGCATCTATTTGATTCTTCTCTCTTTTCTTCCTTATTAGTCTTGCTAGCAGTCTATCTATTTTGTTGATTGTTTCAAAAAACCAGCTCCTGGATTCATTTGTTTTTTGAAGGGTTTTTTGTGTTTCTATCTCCTTCAGTTCTGCTCTGATCTTAGTTATTTCTTGCCTTCTACTAGCTTTTGAATTTGTTTGTTCTTGCTAGTTCTTTTCTTTTAATTGTGATATTAAAAGATATTAAAAGAAAATTGTGATATTAATCGTTCTAGTTCTTTTAATTGTGATATTAGGGAGTCCATTTTAGATTTTTTTCTGCTTTCTCTTGTGGGTATTTAGTGCTATAAATTTCTGTCTACTCACTCCTTTAAATGTGTCCCAGAGATTCCGGTATGTTGTATCTTTGTTCTCATTGGTTTCAAAGAACATCTTTATTTCTGCCTTCATTTCATTATTTACCCAGTAGTCATTCATCAACTGGTTGTTCAGTTTCCATGTAGTTGCATGCTTTTGAGTGAGCTCGTTAATCCGGAGTTCTAATTTGATTGCACTGTGGTCTGACAGACAGTTCGTTTTGATTTCTGTTCTTTTACATTGGCTGAGGAGTGTTTTACTACCAATTATTTGGTCAGTTTTAGAATATGTGCAATATGGTGCTGAGAAGAATGTATATTCTGTTGATTTGGAGTTTAGAGTTCTGTAGATGTCTGTTAGGTCCACTTGGTGCAGAGCTGAGTTCAAGCCCTGGATATCCTTGTTAACCATCTGTCTTGTTGATCTGTCTAATATTGACAGTGGGGTGTTAAAGTCTCCCATTATTATTGTGTGGGAGTCTAACTCTCTTTGTAAGTCTCTGAGGACTTCCTTTATGAATCTGGGTGCTCGTGTAATGGGTACATATATATTTAGGGTAGTTAGCTCTTCTTGTTGAATTGATCTCTTTACCATTATGTATTGGCCTTCTTTTTCTCTTTTGATCTTTGTTGGTTTAAAGTCTGTTTTATCAGAGACTAATATTGCAAACCCTGCTTTCTTTTAGTTTTCCATTTGCTTAGTAGATCTTCCTCCAACCCTTTATTTTGAACCTATGTGCATCTTTGCATGTGAGATGGGTCTCCTGAATACAGCACAGCGATGGGTCTTGACTTTTTACCCAATTTGCCAGTCTGTGTCTTTTAATTGCGGCATTTAGTCCATTTACATTTAAGGTTAATATTGTTATGTTTGAATTTGATCCTTTCATTATGATGTTAACTGGTTATTTTGACCGTTAATTGATGCAGTTTCTTCATAGTATCAATGATCTTTACCATTTGGCATGTTTTTGCAGTGGCTGATACCAGTTGTTCCTTTCCATGTGTAGTGCTTCCTTCAGAAGCTCTTGTAAGGCAGTTCTGGTGGTGACAAAATCTCTCAGCATTTGCTTGACTGTAAAGGATTTTATTCCTCCTTCACTTATGAATCTTAGTTTGACTGGATATGAGATTCTGGGTTGATTCATATGTTTATTCTTTTCTTTAAGAATGTTGAATATTGGCCCCCACTCTGTTCTAGATTGTAGGGTTTCTGCTGAGAGAGTCAACTTATTAGGGATGTAAAGGACCTCTTCAAGGAGAACTACAAACCTCTGCTCAATGAAATAAAAGAGGACACAAACAAATGGAATAACATTCCATGCTCATGGATGTGAAGAATCAATATTGTGAAAATGACCATACGGCCCAAGGTAATTTATAGATTCAATGCTACCCCCATCAAGTTACCACTGACTTTCTTCACAGAATTGGAAAAAAACTACTTTAAAGTTCATATGGAACCAAAAAAGAGCCCACATAGCCAAGACAATTCTAAGTACAAAGAACAAAGTTGGAGACATCACACTACCTGACTTCAAACTATACTACAAGTTTACAGTAACCAAAACACCATGGTACTGGTACCAAAACAGATATATAGACCAAAGGAACAGAACAGAGGCCTCAAAAATAACACCACACATCTACAACCATATGATCTTTGATAAACCTGACAAAAAAATAGCAATGGGGAAAGGATTCCCTATTTAACAAATGGTGCTGGGAAAACTGGCTAGCCACATGTAGAAAGCTGAAACTGGATCCCTTCCTTACACCATATACAAAAATTAACTCAAGATGGATTAAGGACTTAAATGTAAGACCTCACACCACAAAAGCCCTAGAAGAAAACCTAGGCAATACCATTCAGAAGATAGGCATAGGCAAAGACTTCATGACTAAAACACCCAAAGCACTGGCAACAAAAGCCAAAATAGACAAATGGGATCTAATTAAACTAAAGAGCTTCTGCACAGTTAAAGAAACTATCATCAGAGTGAACAGGCAGCCTACAGAATGGGTGAAAATCTTTGCAATCTACCAATCTGACAAAGGGCTAATATCCAGAATCTACAAAAAACTTAAATTTACAAGGAAAAAACAAACAACTCCATCAAAAAGTGGACAAAGGATATGAACAGACACTTCTCAAAAGAGGACATTTATGCAGCCAACAGACATGAAAAATGCTCATCATCAGTGGTCATTAGAGAAATGCAAATCAAAACCACAATGAGATACCATCTCACACCAGTTAGAATGGCGATCATTAAAATGTTAGGAAACAGCAGATGCTGAAGAGGATGTGGAGAAATAGGAATACTTTTACACTGTTGGTTGCAGTGTAAATTAGTTCAACCATTCTGGAAGACAGTGTGGTGATTTCTCAAGGATCTAGAACTAGAAATACCATTTGGCCCAGCCATCCCATTACTGGGTATATACCCAAAGGATAATAAATCATGCTACTATAAAGACACATGAACACATATGTTTATTGTGGCACTATTCACAATACTAAAGCCTTGGAACTAACCCAAATGTCCATCAATGATAGACTTAAGATAGGATTAAGAAAATGTTGCACGTATATACCATGGAATACTATGCAGCCATAGAAAAGGATGAGTTCATGTCCTTTGCAGGGACATGGATGAAGCTGGAAACCATCATTCTAAGCAAACTATCACAAGGACAGAAAACCAAACACCGCATGTTCTCACTCATAGGTGGGAGTTGAACAATGAGAACACATGGACACAGGGTGGGGAACATTACACACCAGGGCCTGTCAGGGGGTGGGGGGCTGGGGGAGGGATAGCATTAGGAGAAATACCTAATGTAAATGACGAGTTGATGGTGCCGCAAACCAACATGGCACATGTATACCTATGTAACAAACCTGCATGTTGTTCACATGTACCCTAGAACTTAAGAATAATAATCAAAACAAAACAAAAACATAATACAGAAGTAGCAAACATTAGAAGCAGCTACAGCACTCTAGGTCCAAGATGGAGCACCCAGGAAGGAGCCACCTCCACGTCTCTCACCTCTTCAGGGGCAAATTGCATTCCTTGTTGGAGAGGGTGTGCAATGGTCACTGAATGGGAGAGAAATCACAGTCTCTTTGCTGATGCAACTTGCAGGAAACCTAATATTTTGGGTTGCCAGGAAACATCTGTTCACAAAAAGGTGCTGTAACTCTGAACTCATTGCAAAGCTACCTGAGGAATCCCTGGGCAATTGATTCATGAATTGATTCATGGTGGCACTCTGCTGTGATGACGCCTGAGGGGATATCAGGGAAGCTCTTGGCTGTGCATGATGCTGGCCAACCTATACTACAGGAGCTGGGCCCTGGTGAAGGTGCCTGGTGGAGGAACATAGTGAGAGATGTGCACCAAAACCAGGAAGATAAACCCTTTCCCCCTAGAGCAAATGTACAGCAGCACCACCTACTGACAACATTGTACCACCTGACAAAGGAGTACTATCAACAGGGCCCATCTCAATTACAGCAGAATAGGGAATGGAGGGTGAATTTGGAATTGAGAGATGATAAATGGATGACTGCCACAGTCAGTGTTAGCAATGAGGTTTTGCTCTTTAGGAATAAGTTGTCTGAAGACAAACCAGGAAGGTCTGTCTTGGTCCTGAATCACTGCTGCTAATTAAGTATGCAAGTGAATCACCTGGGTGTGTAAACAGATTTCTGGGTTCCATTAAGAGAATTCTGACTCAAGAGATCTACAGTGGGGCCTGATTGTTTACATTTCTTACCAATTCCTAAGGGATGTTGATACCATCTTCTCCTTTTACCTTTAGATAATTTATCATCATGAAGAGTTTCTTATTTTTATCACCTAGTTTTATGACCAGGGCCACACTTTAAGTAGAATGCTCCTTTTGTTCTTGTCTAACTTAGTTATTATACACAAGGAGAAGACAATCTTGATCTTTCTAAAAGCACAAGTTTGAAATCTTTAAATAAAATCAGTCCCACACAGTTGTATTTCTGATCATTTAAAAATGTATTATCTTTTTTTCAATTTGGGATTTTCTGAACCAGTTAAAGAAAAGTAATAACTACAGTAATATTTTCTCAATTATTCTAGCACAGGGTCTACACACATCACATACTTAATATGACTTGGAAGTGTCAATTTCACATGATTTAACACTACACAAAACATTTGCAAACTGCAAGAAAATGTAACCAACAGGTTTTTCTATTGAGAAGTTGTAATATAAAAACGTACACAAAGATGTGAGGGGAAAAAAAGTAAAAACTGTTCTGACAGTGGCTTTCCTTTGTTTCAATATGGGATTAAATGTTAAGAGTAAAGATAATTTGACCTAACTCTATGCTTCCTAAGGTTTATAAAATATCTTTCATATAACCGAAAAATGTGGTAACTGTGATATCTCTTTAGTCTTAATGAAAATAAACATGTCTTTATTAAGTTATAGGATGGTAATGAGCTTCCCTTTGAGCTGAGGCACTAACCTGAGTTTATGCCCCTGGAGACTTTTGCTCTTCAGGCAAGCATACTTCGCGGTGTACACGTCATGTTGTTTCAGGTGACCTTTAATTTTGTTCCATAAAATAACGATCGAGCTTATCTCATTTTGCTAATCATTTCCATGACTTACTGACACTTTTGCCAATAAATCAGTGAGGCAGTTTTCTTAATGTATAGAGGCAAATTACAGAAAAAGTCTAGTTGTGAGTCACAGTTCCTGGGGCTTTCAGTTGAATTTACCAACAAGCTGAGAGGCCTTCAACACATCTTCATAATATGTTTCCCTTTCTGGGCCTCAGTTTTCTCAAACATAAAAATGACAAATTTAAAGAAATTCTTTCTAATGAACCCTCTGCCTCTCTGGTTTTATATTTTTTATCAAAATACCTTAAAATATAATATTGTTGGGCTTTATTAAACAGAGCTCATCCAGAAGGGTTAATAAAATCACTGGGTTTTTTTCTCTTTTGTTATGATTTTTGAAGTAATTATGAGTCTTTTGTTAAGATAGATAAACAGTGTTGTATAATGGTGGGCATGTGTTAATGTCTGGGCTGTTGTCCCACTGATTTTTGTTTTAAATAATAATACTGATAATGGCAAATGAGGCATTAGCCTAGTCAGTGTACCACAATAAAAGGAACCACTATGTGGTAGTATAATGCAGAAAATGGTAGGAATCGGGGCTCTGGCTGTAATGAGATGTGCTTTGTCTGGTCACATCGTCTTCAACTTGAATAACTTAATCGATATAAACTATAGCAAACTAGTGACTTAGAGAATACTGATAACACTGTCGGATTGCTTATAAATAAATGCCAGCATTATACATTTTGTAGCGAAATTCATTCCAAATAATAATGCTGAAATGTTGGCATTTTTCAATATTTCAAGAATGTTACAAGATTAATGAAAAAATAACAAGTACAATGTTAATTTTTTGAATAGGCATTATGAATTATTAATTGTGGAAAAAAGATCGGGCAAGCAGAAAAGGTTTATTAATTTATTATTTTTAATTTATTTTAAAGATTGGTTGTTGATGTATCATTTTCCTCATTGCCATGCAGGTGTGAGGTGCTGTGTTTTCAGTGATTCCAGATGAAGCAGTGGCCTAAAGCAGAGAAGGACGCATTCTCAGATCATGCGATCACCGTAACGGGGCCTCATCCACCTTCCCAGAGATTTCCTGAGCGGCTCCATTTCAGATCTTAACACCAACCACTACCCCACATTTTCTCTCCACCACCACACGTTAGCCGGGGAATAGAACAAAATGGTGAATTCAGTGGGGAGAAGTCCCTTCACTGTAATTCCCTCATGGGGGGATTATTCTCTCCTCTCTCAATGGGAAAATGCAGTCAGTGTCCCCCAGAAAAGGGGAGAGGCAGAAGACACTTACGAAGACTTGGGTGAGTGACCATGGTTGGGGTGCTGCTAGGAACCCCACAGCAGAAGGAGCAAAAATTATAGAGGACTGAAGCCCCGTGAGATTTCAGGATAGCACCCCTGAGGGACGTTATTGGGAAAAAAATAAACAGTAGTTGCACATGCATACTCCAATAAGGTAATATTGCTGAATGTACCTTTATTACAAGGTTTTTCTCCATATTAGAACTAAATTTCAACTGCCATCTAATTTCCTGTTAAAATTAGCTCATTAGTAGGTTTGGATTTTGTGATACATCTTAAAATTCTTCGTTTTTGCATTCCATTTGTCTTTTGGTCTCCTGTACCTGGCAGAGTGCCTGGCACAGAAAATGCACTCAATAAATACAGAACTAAAAAGACACCGAGGCAGGAGAATCGCTTGAACTGGGGAGGTGGAGGTTGCAGTGAGTTGAGACGGCGCCATTGTACTCCACCCTGGGCAACAAGAGCGAAACTCAAGTCTGAAGGAAAAAAAAAAAAAAGACATAGTGTTTGTGTGTTTGTGGTTATTTTGAGGATTTTTCTCATGGTATTTCCATTACTCAATTTCCTGTGTGCTGTTCTTGAGGCAGCTGTTATTAGAACAGCCACACATGTTACAATAATCCGCAGAATGTTAAAAAATACTGATGCCTAGATTCTCCTCCCTTAAGATTTTGATCTAATTGGTCTGGGGTATAAGCTGGACAATGGGGTTTATAAAAATTCCCAGGAGATTCTAAAATACAGCCAAGATCAAGAACTACTGTCTAGATTATCTTCCTTCTTACCAATTCTTTCTTCTGCTGTATCTAATCTACAATTTTACCCATTCCTTGAGATTTTAATTTTAACAACCATGATCTAAATTTCTAAGACATCTTTTATTATTTTTAATTGATCTTTCTATTTTTCTGTAGTGCCATTTTCTTATAGTTTCCACACCTGCTTTTATACCTTCAATCATTTTAAATCTGTTTTACAGCTTTTATGGCTAATTATTTTATAGGAAATTCTTGGGAATCTACCCCTCCTACTTCGTGTGCACTGTCTCTTGCTTACTGAGCCTTGTTCTCTTGCATGTTTTATAATTTTGAATTGCAAACCTAACTTAAACAGAGTTCTGTCTGGAAATCCTGACAGCGTGTATCCAAGGAGTTTTGACTTGTCTTTAGCAAAAAGGACAGCAGTATCTCCACAGCCCTATAAATCCTGTTTTATATACATTTCTGGTGTTCTATGTTTCTAAATCACAGAATATTTATACCTCCTCTTTTCAAATCACTTTAGTGGACAGGGCTGGGGTTTAGAATTCCCAGAGAAGCATTTTTTCCCCTACGGCCAGCAAAGGGTAGATCATGTTGTTCTTTGCCAAATGTGTTGGCTCTCTTAATCATTACCTGCTTCTCCCAGGCCGAAGGTTTCTTTTCCTAGTTCCACAAAAAGCTGAGAGCTCAATCCCCTGGTTTGATCATTGCTCTTCCCTGACACCCCTCCAGGAAAGCTGTATCTCAGTTCATGTTATTTGCCCTGTGGTTTATTTCTGCTATAAGATTTCACTTCTTTGTTGGTACCTCAACCATGCATTGAAAATAATCTTCTGATTACTTTATCTGACATTTCTATGGGTTTCTCTCAAGGGACTTTGCAGATGAGTCTATCTTCTTGATCATCTCACCCTCGTCCCATTCTTATCCCACCTGAACACATTGTGCATAACAGATGCTCCAAAATGCTCTTTGATCTCAGTGTCTACTCAGCCTCAGTACTCCATCAACCCCTGCTAGGTTGCTGGAGCCCTCAGTTACACAGAGAAACATTGATCATTCTTTTACCTTCCTCATAGCTTATTGACTCAATTTCTTTCACATGTATTTATTACACTTAGAGTGCTACCAAACTTGCTCCCTGTTATGGATGAAAGCGTTTCTTGATATTTCACCTGTCCCCAGGATGGTTACAGGCCACAGAATGATCACTTTAAAATAGTCACGGATTTCTAAAGTTTTTAATGATTAAAACAAAAAACAAAAAACAAAAAAAACTAACATTTTTCACCAAAGGGTCTTGCATGAATGCATTTTTTGTTTGTTTGTTTTGTGTGTGTGTGTGTGTGTGTGTGTCTGTGTCTGTGTGTCTGTGTGTGTGTCTCGCCACTCTGTTGTCCAGGCTGGAGTGCAGTGGCACAGTCTTGGCTCACTGCAACCTCCGTCCCCTGGGTTCAAGCAATTCTTGTGTCTCAGCCTCCAGAGTAGCTGGGACTACAGGGACATGCTACTAGGTCCCACCAATTTTTGTATTTTTAGTAGAGATGGGGTTTTACCATGTCGGCCAGGCTGGTCTGGAACTCCTGACTTCAAGCAATCTGCCCGCCTCCACCTTCCAAAGTGCTGGGATTACAGGCATGAGCCCACTGCACCTTGCAGGATGTGTATTTTTTAATTAAATGAGTTCTGCAAAATATATGAGATTGCTGGTTTTCTTTACTATACTTATAGGTAAAGTCTGGCTGGTATCATGTTCTTTACATTATAAACTAGAGACTTGTGTATTTGCTACCTATTGAAATTTACTTTGTTGATGAGAATACTGGGAGGTTGTGCTGGAAGACTCTTCTTTATTGATTGCACACATCTTTACGGGCAGAAAGTGGTTTACAATAGACATTTTAAAGGACTTCTAGAAAGATAATAAAAATAGTAATCAAGGAAAAGAGTTGGTTGCTCCAAAGTAATATTGTGGGAAAACAATAATAAAAATAACTGTAATGTAATTGGAAATTAATTTTTAAATTACATTGGTTTACTTAGCTTTTCAAAATACAAAGGAAATAAAAGATAATGAAAATAACATCCATCATCAGATTTCTCAGATTGCATGGAAATGTCCTTGCCCTTAGTTTAAAAAAAAAAATCAGTGTCTGTTGCCTGTGATTAGCCAGGCTTGGTTTTGATGGTTTCCATTATGATCTTCTTGTTAGAGTGTAATGAGATGCAGTCCTGCACGTATGAATACCCACCGCCTGTCACTGAGCCATCTGTCCATGACTTAAAGGCATGAAAATGCTGTCTGTAGTGAATGAGAAAAATGGAAATTTATATTAGAATAGTTCCTTTTTGTTCTTTGTTCATGATTGAAAGCCACTCGACATCTATTCACTAAGATTCAGACATTTAACAGGCAACCTATCTAACAACTTTAAAATCTATTCTAAAATTGGGGTCTATTTTGACATCTGGACGTTGGCCAATCTTTTCCCTGAACCAACTTTTTTTTTTAAAGAAAGCTTTAAAAAATAGACCTTATTTTTTAGAGCAGTTTTAGGTTTATACAGCAATTGAGCAGAATGTACAGAGCTCCTGTGTACTCCCTTCCCCCAACCTCACCTTCCCCTGTTATTAACATCTCAGATTGGTGTGGTACACTTGTTACAATTCACAAACAAATATTGTAGTTTAACTGTGCCCCCAGATCCCCTGTCTTTTACCTATGCATCGTCCTGCCCCAACCCCTGGGGTTCACTGAGAGGTTTTACTGCCTCTATAGTTGTTCATTTTATAAATATTACAACATTGGAATCTTATAATATATTGTCTTTCCAGACTTTTTTTCATGTAGCAGTATGCATTGTACTAGTTTTTAATTGCCTTTAATTTTTATTTTTTAAAAATTACTCACCAGTCACATCACTAATGTCCATCACCAAGTTAAAAAAAATTTGTCAGGAAAACATTTAAACAAGTTGCCAGAGTAAGATTTAAAAATGCCCAATACTAAATAGCTCACTTTATAAATGGAGATAAATAAGAAAGGAAAATAAAACAGGGTGATGATGTATGATGGGAAGAGATATAGGCATACCTCTTTGAATTTTTGAGCCTCAGTTTCTTCATCTCTGAAATGGGGATACTATTACAACATTCCAAGTTCTTCACGGTTAGACATCTTATGTGATGTATATTGAAGGCACTCAATGGCAATGAAGGAAACAGAGAAGAAGTAGAGAAGAAAAATCACAAGAAAGAGGATGAGAAAGATGAAAACTCTAGAACAGGAGTGAAGATACAGAAGTAGGAGGAAGGAGGAGACTTTGCTGTGACCTAAAGTAAAAGTTGTTCCTGAGAACAGGGTTTCATCACATCAGGATATGAGACTGTCTCGATAGGTGTGATGTAGAAAAGTATTTACCTTTTAGAGAGTCTCCTGGCCATGGGATCCTAGGTGATTTTTTAAGAATCATTTTCTGAAATCAAAAGAACAGGCACAACATATAATGCTCATTTCTCTTCCTTCATGATTTTGAAAATATATATAAAGAAAAAGAATTAAACTAATGATTGTGTAAGAAAAATGGTAATATAATTATTATATTTTAGCTATTTCAACCCAAAATATTCCTTTTTTATGATTTTCCATCCATCTTATCTCTAAATATTACATATCAAAGTAACTATTACAGTCTTCTTAAATATGGTTGAATGTTAAAGATCAAGATATCATTTTGCTAATAACTATGAAACTACGTAAGAATTTGTTTCAACCCTTAAGAGACACCAAAAGGCAAATAATTGTTAGGTGTTCTATACACCTAGATAATGAGTTTTACAAGGAAAGTTGCTTCTTTGACCTTATGCAAATGATTTAATCTAGGCAGCCCCTAAGGTTTCCTAGCAGTAAGGATCCCTGGAAATCTTACTTGAGGAGAAGGGAAACTCTTTTTGGCATTTGTGGACTGGTGTCCTTGACTCCTCAAGAGTTATCTGAACTCTGCATATCCCAGGGGTGTCATTAGAGTTAATAACCTCTCCAGAGAAGATGCACCAACCACATTGTTCACACAAGTGGACAAGAGTGACGCCTACACATTTTGAACCATAAGTCTCTAGTTCCTAGAATTCTTTTCCCTGAATCTACAAAGCCCAGGGACACTCAGAGTGAAGAGTTAGTCCATCCCTTCCTCCTCAAACCCCCAGGGCACCCTCAGATCATCCTTAGGCACGTGGATGCCTACCTTCTCAGTGGTGGTGAACCAGTGTTTTATCTGAGGGTCTTCCAGAGCCTTTTAGTTGATGTTCATTTCTGACTCCCAGAGACCAGCCCTCGTCTCCTTTTGTCTCTGATGTGAACAGCCCTACTGCAGCCTCATCTCTCTCTCATTGGG